CTTCTCGGAGATGTTTCTTATGGAGGAGGGGCTCCACACTCTTCGGCCTCCCGCCAACACCGTTTCCTTCGCAATGGTAGAATTTTTGTTAGAGGCGATGGAGTAGAGGGAAGGGAAGAGGTCCCTTAAGGGAGTTCGTCCGAGCCAACGATCTGACCAGAAGCGCACTCTTGTTCCTTCTCTTGAATGAAACTTGATGAATTTTTTGAACAGTGAGAGGGAAGAGGTGAAAGACCTCCACTCTCCTGAGGCCTTATTCAAAGGTCTCCTCTTTGACACCCAAATGCCTTCAGAAATCTTATATTTATAGCGTAAGACCTAGGCTCAGAGGGAATCAGTCTGAGTTGCAAGACGCCACCACCATTGCCTACAAGGGCCAAGTTATGTTTTCTAAGGATCCTGATACCTAAACCCCCCTATTATTTGGGTAAGCAGATTTTATCCCAAGAGATTAAATGGTATTTTGTTCTCTCTGCCTGACCCGACCAGAGAAAATTCCTCATAAGTTGATCCAGCCGGTTTGTCACTGAAGTTGGCATTTGGAAGAGAGACGTGAGGTAAACCGGGGCATTGGCAAGTGTTTCTTTGATCAATGTGTTCGACCAGCCTGGGAAAGGTATCTCCCTTTCCATCCAGCCAAACGCCTATCAACTTTGTCTATCACATATGACCAGTGTCGTTTTTGGGTTTTCCCAATCCTAGAGGCAGGCCAAGGTAAGTTGTAGGAAGGTCCTCAACTTTGCATTGCCATATTGGGATAAGCTCTCTGATTTCAGCGTTGGCGATCGCTACCCCCATCATTTTTTATTTTTCCATGTTGACCTTGAAACATGTGGCCACTTGGAAACATTTGAGGTAAAGACTCAAGTTTTCAATTTCTTGTGAAGAAGCGTCTAGGAATACCAACGTGTCATTTGCATATTGCAGATGAGACACTGTAGGCCCTCGGTGAGAGGTTTTGAAACTCGAGAGGAGACCTGCCTGGTAAAGATGGGAGATAGGTCGGCTGAAGACTTTTGATGTAATAGCGAAAAGAAAGGGGGAGAGAGCCCCTTGGCGTAACCCCCTCGAGGAGGGGAAGAAACCTTTTGGGGTTCCGTTTATGAGGATTGAAAAATGAGGGTGAGAATAGCAACCTCTCATCCATTTTCTGTAGCGATCTCAGAACCCCATTCTTGCCATTGACTTATCCAGTATGGACCAATCAACATGGTCATACGCTTTCTCCTAGTCTATCTTAAAGATGAGACCAGGTTTTATTGACAAGTGCGTAGAGTGAATGCACTCGTGTGCTATTAAAGCTCTGTCTAGGATTTGTCTATCTTTGATGAATGCACTCTTATTTTTATTTGGATGGATTTGAATTTTTATTTATTTATTTATTTAAGGGATGGTACTATGTGGGCACCCAAACTGCCTAGCCTACCTTAGGCATGCCCACCCAAACCCCACCGCCTAGGCTACGCTTTGGTGGTTTCTCGGCCAAGCCACCTAGGTGGCAAGGCAGCTGAATTTCGTTCATTGATTAGAATTATAACCACACCATAACTTCCTAACATCTTTCCAAAATTTATAGGAAGTCAAAACTTTATTTGGTCAAAACAAACCTCCACAAAGAATAGGAGACAACCTTTTTAATTTTAAAAGATTGTCTAACTTAAAATAATGTAAAACAATTCCTAACAAATAAAGGAGTGGGGCGTACCACCCATATGGACCACATGTAGGCCCCATAGGCTACACGTCCCACCCATGTGAGGTTGGCACACATGTGGGGCTTGATCCAAGGGTTCTATATGTGTCCTTCATTTTTTTAAAAAATTTAAAAAATGCCCTTTATATGGATTTTACAGCAGAAAGAAATTAAAAACATACTATTTTTTTAAATTTCCCAAAAACATTTCGTATACCAAAAATAAGACATTTACAAGTGAATTGGTACCAATGGGTCAATGCACTCGACCCAGTAATAGCAATCCACAACTGTTCTCAACTATTCTCGAATTAATTCAACAAGGATCCATGATCCACAGTCTTATGCAGGGGCTCATAATTGGCTCTTCAAAGTTGGCCTAATAAATAGTGGAACCGTGATCCTGGAATGTGATTTCAGTTCCCCCCTTTAAGAGCAAGTTTAGCATTTGTCACTACAGTGCAAAAGGGGCTCTCTATGTATATGTACATGTGTCGTCCTATAGGAATGCTTCCCGGTAATTTGGTTGTCATGTGTACATGTCGTACGGAAGTTTGTTGAGGCTTTGGTCCTTGCTCTCACAGGTTTACGACAGTATACAGGAGACCACACATATCCTGACCTACAATCATTATCCATGAGCATCTCTCCGACCTCAACAAGGGATGACTCACTATGAACGCTTCTCGGTAATGCCACATGCCCAGGTGGGTTTTGGACCTAACTAGGGCCATAAATCCCCTAACCTTGGTTAGTGAACATTCGTACACTCCTACTGAAATGCATAGTCTACTATAGATATCATTTTACATGCTCTCACAGCCTTTAAAGGCCACAAAATCCCAACATTCTTCACCTACATTGTTTCTCAACCGCCTCAAACCAGCTCCAACTAGTCCTTTATAGATAAAAACTTGCGAATGATATAGGAACAAGCAAACAATGACAGCAAAAAGTCAGATTGTATACCTTTATATGTCATACTCACCAAAATAAATTCCCAAGTTCTATTAAGCTTTCTTCTAATCTCTTACATTGATGATGTCCCAGATATCTATAATTGCATGTTCCAAAAAACTCATCGTCATATCATTGTTCCAGTCAAAGTCTAATTGTTTCACCCACTTATAACTATGCCTGCATGGCAACTTTCATTTTACCCATTTTATGACAACCCCTAGAAAACATAGACCCGGTGCCGTTTTTCTGCTTTAATCACTCTATTTGGGACTATAGACTTCATTTTGGTTAATAACAAGAATTCCCAGTATTTGGAGATTTGTTGTCTCGAATTCTCATCATCTAATATTAATGGTTCCTATGTCAACCATGAGATAATTCATGTCTAATGACTTGATCATTATTTTAGAGTCCTTTATGTACCCAGAAGGGAAAATTATTCATTTTTTTTCCCAAAGAGCTATTCTGTTGCACTGCTAAAAGAGTCTGCTCCATTCATTCGATTCTAGTGCTTACCTATCCTAGCTTAGCAATGGAAAAAGCCTCAACCAAAAAATATTGGAACTTCTCAGCATATCTAGCCAAAATCTATCTTTACTTGCAATGAAATCACAATTCAGGTTTCATGGGTGGTTGAAATGAATGTTTTGTCCTTGTCTGAAACCTTCAAATGTATATATCGCTAAAATTACCAGAAGTGATGTTCTAACGAGTCCTTTGCCCTTAGCTGCGCATCATAGGTACCAAGCGTTCCACCATTTTTTCATCCTTCCCACACTATAACTATTCTAGTTCTGAAATGTCATCCACCTACAAAATACCAGCAAAGCGAAGAATCCAATCGATTTCTTAGCTCTTCACCCTGCACTCTGATTGCAAGCCCACTGCGAGGAAACCCAATGCTTCTGTGCGACATCTGTTTCTTCAAAGTCAATGACTACCCCACTGAGAGCTTCTTGAACATCATGGAAGGTTGCATTATATCTTTCCCTTTGGGATACTTCTTGTTATATGCAGGGTAGAAAGGGTGGGAGGAGAGGCAAATATATATGGATTTCTCAATAAGGCTCATAAAGAGGATGTTGAAACTTTAATAAACTTTTTTTATAAAGAATGAAATTATCATTAAAAGTTAATGCCAGCTATCAGAAGAGTTTGTAGCATGGATGCTCAGACCTATGGATGTTCCATTTATGCCCCTTTATTATTCTTTGATTTTGTGTATTAGCTTCTGTTCATGTGATTCTTAGTCTAAATTTATGCATTCCATAGTGGACCCTGTGATGTGTGCAAATAGCTCCTGTCATCTGAAAATAGAGGCAAAATAATTACACAAGATGAATTAAGGATTAAAAAAAAAGACCAGTATGTTGAACATGCAGTAGTACCGCCAATATGCATTGAAAGTCCAGATGTGTGAGCTGATTGTTCTAATCTTCTCTATGTGGGTAGATTCTATACAGCTGGGCATCAGATATCAAACAGTGACCTCTTATTCTGGCATACATGCATTAATATACCCCTTGACCTGCATGGAAGATGCCAAAGCACATGTTGCACTTAGGTGGGTGTGTTGTCTTACTCCATACTTTCCAGGCACTCTTTTAGTTTTAGTTATATGCACTGTGGACATTTAAGTTCTAACACAACGAAATGTAAATTCTTGTTTTATTGTTCTCATCAATATTTGTGCTACAAAATATGGAGTGGTGCCTAAATGCATTATGGACAAGCACCCCATTGCCCAGTACCCAATGTCCAATATTTCACATTCACAAAGATAAATGCAGTGTGCTTACAAGCATGAGGCAGTGGTTATGTGGTCAGGAGTCGTAGGGGACTAAACAGTACTAGCAACTGACTGGAGTCCCTGGAAATGATTGTTGATTAGGCTGTAATGAGTGTCATGTAAATTAAATGTAACTGACTGAATTGAGTGGCATTGTGTACACAATGCACGAGAATATCAAAGGATTTTTAGTGCGAATTATCTGCAACTGAAGGTGTGATTTTGCACTCCTAAATTCCCTTATCCTATAGCTCCATTATTAAGGACTCATGTATTGAGGTTCATTCTGCATTCCATTGCAAAAGCCGTGCTTTGCACCTGCAATTGACCAGTTTCATGCGCTATCCAGTTTTTCACATTATCCAGAAAGTCCATGATCTTCAAACCTATGCAGTACATTTATTTGGTAAAACACAAGTTTGTGCATCATTGATTTCTTTCAACTTCTTGGAAGGAAATGTTTTATGATCTGCACTATGCCTCTCTGTTTTTGTAGGAGTTTTTTTATGAATAATGTGATACTTTGATATACTAACCTTTGTTAGGTCCATTTCACAGATTTTGGCTTTTTGAACCCCGTTGTGGCATGCATGACATTGGTGGTTGGTACATAGAGACCTTTGGTCGAGACAAGAAAGGTAAAACAGTCCCATCCAAAAGAAAGTGGGATGGCAGCAAGGCTGATTCCAAAGTTGATCTTACAGAAAGGTTAGTCCAATTAATTTTAAGGGAAATTTATCAAAATACACCTAACTTTTCAACAATTTAACAATTAGCTCTTTTTAAATTATTCCAACTCATGGTCATGTGTATTTTGATGGTTATTTTGAAATTAAATCAAAAGATGTGGGTCAAATATTACATAGTTGCAGTCTTATGTTGATTTTGATAAAATTTTAATTGCTACCTTTAGTATCCAATGACAAGAAATGATTAGTCTTATTGGAACATTCCGCTGCCAAGCTCAACTGATAAGGCCCCGAGTTTGAGATGGTTTGACTGGATCATGTGCCTAGACTTGCTACATTTCTCTACATTTCTTTCCCAAATTTATTGTCATATATTTCTCTGTATCTCTACTTGTATTGAGCTTATATTTTCAATCTTACTTATGACACTAAGTTTAATGTTAGATTTTCTTTAATCCAATATGCAGAAGAGTCCATCCTGCCATGTATTTAATGGCCATTGCTTACAGAACCCTAGATATTGAAGATGCAAGAAACAAGAAAAGGACAGTCAAGGATATCATTGAACCAAGATTGTCTAGTATTCTCAATTGGTGTAAGAAACTTGTATAGCCAGATAACCAGCTGCCCTACTGCATAGTTATTCTGTATAATAAGTGTATTTCTTTTTATATAAGAAAAAATCTCCTTTGTGTTTTAGCTTAAGTGTTCCACATTTCCAGATTGTGGTAATAAATTCTGGTTACCACTTTCAAGAGTCGTTTCAGAACTTAAGAAATATCTTAAAATAAATTAAAATGAAAATATTTTTGATTTCAGAAGTTTGAATATAACAAAATACAAATTCTATCCTGCTCACAAAAATATCCAGACTCTGAATTGTATTTCAGTTGAGAAGATCCTCCCATTTACAATATTGCCCTCCAGCCAATGCTCGGTAAAACCTATCTCTGCAGTAAACTGGCCTGCCATCAGCAGCCTCAGCAGCTGCTGCCACCAAATCATCATCATCTATCACTTCAACTGGCAATTTTAGTAACTCCTTCCTTCTGCAATACTCATAAGAGCTTAGAGATTTGGTATTTGAATCCTGAAGTGCTGATGAAAATTTTTCAATTTTGTATTTAAGTTTGTACCTTATGTTGCCCTTGATTTTTGAAACTGTAGCACCTGTGTTGTCTTCTTTTTTGGATAAAGTAGCATGTATGAAGTCCTCCACTGGATTGGCAAATATGAAAAGAGATACAGCTGCAACAAGTAGCACTCCAGTACCAACAAGTGTCTGTTTTAACAGCTTTATGACTGGTTTTACCTACATGAGCAGTGACAAAAGAAATGTTGAAATCTTATTGATGAAAACACCAGGTTTAGAGGTTGAGTTTTGTTCCATAATTATGGGCCACTGCTACTTGAATGAAGATCGAAGGAATCTGTAATGACAAAACATTCCATGGAATCCTGGATTAATTATGAATGTGTCAAGATATATTTCTAGTTGTAAGACTTACCTGAACTGGTAATGTCATTGGTGTTTTCCCTAGTACAACTCTATTTTGAAATAGAAAAACTTGATACTTTGAAACTAAGGAAAATACCAAAGATCCAAGACCAAATGCACATATAATATCAGGGTCTATGTTTCTGAGCTTGCATTTTAGTTGTTCAATTTAACAATCCTATACCCAACCAGTTTATCTAGTCAACCTAAATCAGAATTAGTTGATCCAGCCTCATACCTATCCAGGAGTTATGTCAGAATGAACAAGTATCTGGGGTTCACAATTTTCTGACTGAGTGAACCTTTTGAAATTAAATCAAAAGAACCAGGTAAAATTGCTAAATAGTTTATCTCTTAGGCTTATTTTGATGAATTCCCCCCTAAAAAATAATGAAACAAAAATTCCGACCTTGATAAATCTGAATCATCTTTTCCACTCCAGGTTGAAATGTTCAAGAGCAATTGAATTGTGAGTAAGGCTAACCTGAAATCATGCTTACATCTCTCTGCTTACGCGTACTACTCATCTCCTTCACCCACACCCACATACAAAAAGAGAATATCCAAGAGACTGAAAAAATAGCTGAATGAATAGGGAAAGTCAACCATGAAATCATTCAGGATATTGTTCATATGAAAAATGATTTTATAGTGTGCAAAAGATAGTTTCATCTTTAAGCCCCTGTATTACTATAAATGACTCCTAGTTCTGAATGTTTGGCATTCTTTATGAATGTTTAAACAGTTAGTAACATAGAACTGTTGACTTGGCTGTGCTCTGATATCTATAATAATTATTCCTGATGCAGAATATAATCTAGCACTAACTATATTTAAGCTGGATTGTAGCATGGGAGCCCATTTTCAATTGTATGCCAGAACTGCCATTCTATACAACAAAATTAATTATATATAACAATAGGTTTGACCTAAAATGAATGATAGTTTAGGCCATGCTCCCAACCGATCTTAATCGGATGGTTGAAAATGCGTTAGTATTTGAATTTTAATTTCTTTTCTACAAATCAATTGAATCTGAAATTTTAGGAGTATATACTTGAGACTATTATGACAATATAAAAATATAAAAAAAAAAAATATTTTCAAAAATTTAAAATGACCAAATTACCCAATCTTTTTTCAAGGTAGTTTGGTTATTTATATTTTGTAAAATATGAGTTTTACATTTTTTTCTTGTGCATCCCCATTATGTAGTGCACATGTAAAACATACATTTTTAACCATCTGATAAAGTTTGACAACTAGAGCATGACTTAAATTATTACTCATTTTTAGTCAAGACTTATTATTATATCTCTCTCTCTCTCTCTCTCTATATATATATATATATATATATATATATA